CCTTCTGCACTTGGCCCATCACCCTTGCTCTCCTCAGGTCTCACTGCCTACCACATTAAGTCATGCTGGGTGTAGGGCAGAGAAAGGGCATGACCAAAACAGGAGAAAAGGCTTCATTTGGTGAACATGGCCTTTGAGTCAGTTTTCAAATTAGGATAATTTGAAAGATGGTGGGGGGTGGGGGTGGGATGTCATTCTAGAAAGAGGTCACTGTGAGAGCAAAAGCCTAGTGGTCTGGGGGAAGTGCACAGCCCCATCTGGCTACAGCATGGAGCAGGAAGCTGGATGGTGAACTGGGTAAGGTAGGGAGGGGATTTGGTCTGAATGTGAGAGTTTCAAGCCAGCTGACTAGGAGCTTGCTGACAAAAGCTTTCTTCCAGCCTCGCCTTTTACCTAATCTCACCTCTGGCCCCTGGAACTCACTCTCCAGCCACCATGTCCTCCTGGCTTTCAGACTCATCAGGTTCTCTCTTTCACTTGCTGTTGCATCCACCATCTCCTCCCTCACCTCAGGACTCAGTGCAAATGCCACCTGCCTCAAGATACCTTCCCTGACTCCCTAACAAAGGAGGTCCACTATCACATAACTGTGGGGACCCTGTTTAGAGTGCATCGGATGGTCAAGGCCATGCTGAGCCTGGGACGCAAAATCAGAATGTTCAAGGCTAAGATACCAAACACAGGTCCACAGACTATGTGCAGGTGCACAGCAAGTACAGCAATCTCACGGTCACTGTGCCCTTCTGTAGCCAAATTGATCAATGTCATTGTTGGCAACTGGCCTTGTCTAAGGAGTATAATACATGTAATTAACCAGCCAGTGTGCTGGGAGAGAAGCTCAGAGGTAGTTACTGTGTGAGGCGACAGAGGCCAGCCAGCGGAATGGACAGAGGAGTGGGCTGGAGAAGGTGAGGTGGGCACAGAGGATTATAGCTACTATGCAAGACTGAAGAGGCTGGAGAAGCAGCTGAGGCAGAGAGCTCAGGTGCCGTTACTATGTGAGGTGGTGAGTCTAGGGGGCAGCATGCAGCTGCTCAGATAATAACTGTGGATACAGAGACTGCTATACTGTGTAGGAAAAATATGTTACCAGCCAGTGTGTGGCTGCCTATATGGGGTTGCTGTAAGGATTGTTTTGTCTGATGGCTTATATGGCCAAAGCTTCTGCTTTAATAAAGACTCATTCTTACATACCCACAACTTCTCATGGCGTCTCTGTCTACCAACCGGCAGCCACAAGGTCCAGGCCCTGGCAAAGGGGCTCTGCCCCAGCAGTTAGTACATGGGCAGGATTTGAGAAGGAAGCTGGCCTGGCACTTGGCATAGCTGAGGAGAATTCAGAAGGAAATACGGACTCAGACAGCAGTGCTGTGCAGAGCTCTTGCTGCTCCTGAAAATGACCCAGGTTATTTCCCTCATTGCATGCCTCCCATGGAGGGACCTGGATGTTATAATACTAAGCAAAATGAGCCAGTCAGAGAAAGACAAATGTGGTGTGTGTTGTTTCCTTGCTTCTTGTCTCCCTGTCCCCACTGAACTGTCAGCTCCATGAGGATTGGGACTATCTTATTCAGTGATGTGTCCCCAGCACTAGAGCGCTGCCTGGCACTTAGTAGGTGCTGGGTAAATACTTATTAAGGAAAGGACTAAAATTATTTTTAAACAGAGGAGCGAGAAAATCTGACTCATGTTTTAAGACTCCCTCTGACTGCTGTGGCAAGAACAGCATGTGCATGTGTGGGCAGAGCAGGGAGATCTGGAAGGTCCAGGGAGTGATGATGGGGCAAGAATCAGGGTGGTGGCAATGGAGGGGCAGTGGAGAAGTAGTCAAAGTATATGAGGAAAGAGGGACATAAAAAGGCAATTAAGAGAGGGGTAAGGAGGCAGGGCCAGGGGAGTAAGGATGAGAAGGAGAGAAAAGTACATGACCTCTGGTTTTGATCATGGAGTGGGGGTGGGAAGAACGAAGACACAGGAGGAGGAGGAAAAAGGCCAAATTAATATCTAGGTTGCCTGATGGACATAGCAGGGATGATGTTCAGAAGGCAATAATAATTATAGTTATATAAAAAAGTAATTATAGTTATAGTTATAACTAGTACAGGAGATCTATGCTTACATTATCCACCACATATTCCAAATATTTATTGAGAACAACAGTGATTACGACAGACACGTCTATGCCATCACGAGGCTGATAATATTATTGACTCGAGACAGAAACTAAACAGATTAATGGACCAAGAAAGAAATACAGTAGGTCCTCGGGTTATGTCGGAGATCCGTTCCTACAGTGTGACATAACGCGATTTTCACTGTAAGTCAGAACCCTCCTACATAAGCACCTACGTCACTCAGGTGGAGCACATACAACAGCAGTAATGAAAGATAACAATTCCTGAGCTTTACTTGTGATAAATAAATTAAAAAAAAAACCATAAAGCACATATGTACATACGTCGAAATTACGGAACTTTTTTTTTTTATAAATAAATGGGAAATGGTGACGTAACCACAAAATGACATACGTCGAGTCCGATGTAACCCGAGGACTGTATATACTTTAAGGTTAGGTAGTGAGAAATCCTGGGGTGGGGAGTGCGTGCGTGCGTGCGTGTGTGTGTGTGTGTAATGAAACAGGGTAAGGGACAGAGAGGAGAGATTATGTTGGACAGAGTCTGATGTCCAGTAAAGATTATATTTGGCCCTAGCCGGTTTGGCTCAGTGGATAGAGCGTGGGCCTGCAGGCTGAAGGGTTAGATTCCGCTCAAGGGCACATTCCCAGGTTGCAAACTTGATCCCCAGTAGGGGGCGTGCAGGAGGCAGCCGAGCAATGATTCTTTCTCTCTCATTATTGATGCTTCTATTTCTCTCTCTCTTTGAAATCAATAAAAAAAATTTTTTAAAAAGAAAAGAATCCCAAAACACCAATCAGAAAGAATACATGTACCCCATGTTCATAGCAGTGTTATTTACAATAGGTAAGATCTGGAAACAGCCCAAGTGCCCATCAGTAGATGAGTGGATAAAAATGCTGTGGTACATTTACACAATGGAATACTATGCGGCTGTAAATAAGAACTCTCACCATTTGACAGCATGGATGGACCTGGAGATTATAATGCTAAACAAAATAAGCCAGTCATAGAAAGACAAATACGGTATGATCTCACTTATACGTGGGATCCAATGAACAAATAAACTGATGAACAAAATAGAACCAGAGTTATGGATACACTAGAGGCCTGGTGCACGAGATTCATGCATGGGGGAGGGGTGAGGGGGTCCCTCAGCCCAGCCTGTGCCCTCTCACAGTCCGGGACTCCTCGCTCCTTACTGCCCACACCTGCAGTGTAGGTGGGAGAGGTTCCTGCCACCACCGCTGTGCATCCAGCCCTCAGCTTGGCTTCTGGCTGAGTGGCACTCTCCCTGTGGGAGCACACTGACCACCAGGGGGCAGCTCCTGCATTGAGTGTCTGCCCCCTGGTGGTCAGTGCACATCATAGTCGTTCCCCCATCTGATGAATTGCATATTATACTTTTATTATATACTAGGGGCCTAGTGCACGAATTCATGCACCTTGAAAGGAACTGTGGGCTGCGAGGCTGTGGTAGGCACAGGAGTGAGTCTCAGCTCATCCTCCATGCCCCTGCCCAGCCCCTCCCACTGCGCTCCCAGTCCCCTGTTTGCCGGCTGCTTTGCTCCTGTTACCACCACTGCCACGCGCTGATGGCACCAGCCCAGCTCGCACCTGAGTGATTGGGGCTGGCGCTGGCAGCAGGTGCAAGTGGGGAAGGCACCGTCAGCGGATGCGAGCAGCGGCTACTGCCCCAATCGCCCCTCAGGAGCAGGGGGAGGTAGAGAAGCCCTCAGGGGCCATCAGGGCCAGCAGCTGCAGCCAAGTGATTGGGACTGTGGCACACGGGAGCAAAGAATTTTCGGTAACCACCAGAGGCTCGCCCCGATGACAACAACTGGTGCCTCGCCTTGGTCTGGTGCCCCCACTCACCTGCTCCACCATCTCACTGCAGCCAATGCCTGCCATGTTCTGCACACGCCCCCTGGTGGTCAGCATACATCACAGTGACCAGTTGTTTGGTTGTTCCAGCATTTGGTCTATTTGCATATTAGCCTTTTATTATATAGGATGATGATAATATTATTATATAGGATGGTACAGACTAACCTAACAGATATCAGAGGGGGGTAGGGGGGGTGCTGAGGGAAAGAAGAGAATAGACAAAGAACATATATGCATACCCCATGGACACAGACAACAATGTGGTTACAGCCAGAGGGAGAGGAGGTCAGGGTCTGGGTGGAGGGGCGCAAAGGGAGAAAATGGGGGACAACCATAATGTCAACAATTAAAAAAAAAACCTTAATGACAGAAAGTGGGTGGTTGATTTAGTACATGTTTAGGGAAAAGATCTAGATATCTTCAAAAGTTTCTATGAGGTGGGTTTCTTTCCTGTTATACAGAGAAGGGAAACTGCGGCAGAGGGTTAACGTGATGAGTCGCCAATGTAAGGACGAAAACTGCAACCGAGAGAGAAAGGACCTCAAGGTGGAAAAGACCTCGCGCAGAGGCCTCGGGAAACGGTTATTAATTGGGGAGAAGCCGGTGGGCCCATACATTGATCTATGATGTCATCCGGACGTTAGATAGCGTAACATTACCTGGGCGTAGTCCCATTTTCCTTCCCGGAGAGTTCCGCTGTTGGTCAGGCACGGTCTGTATCAAGTCTCTCATTGGCTACTCGCTCCGTCAATCCGTTTAATTATTCCAGCTTTCCGCCCGCCTTCCCGTTCCAGTCTCTGAGAGGTTGACGCGGCTGTCACTTCAGAAAGGTCCGCATTCCTTCCGCCTTTCTACAGCCGACCGGAGGCGAGGAAGGTGGATCCCAGGCGGCGCCCACCCCCGAGGCTCTGCTTCCGCCTCTGATTGGCTGCTCTGGGTGCCCGTCGCTACGCCACCCGGTGCTGATTGACTATCCTGCCGCCGCTCTGCGCGGCGCCGGCCCCGCCCTCATCGGGTGTTTGTGGTGGGGCTGCGGCGTCGTGGATCCCGCCGGAAGCGCCAGGACAATGGGGACCCGGGACGACGAGTACGACTACCTATTCAAAGGTACGGCCGGTGGGGCACAAATGGACGAGGTGCCGGCGGCCAACAGGCGGGCCGAAGTTCCGTCTAGGCCGCTGGGCCCAGGTCGGAGCCCAGGACTTGGGGTCCGGCGGGACAGGCAGTTGAGAAGGCCGGGACAGGCTGGTCTCAACAGCTTTGGGCCGGCGTATGCGACCCTGCAGACTCGGCTGACCTGAGGGGCCTGAGGTTCCCTGGATGCGCCCAGGCAGGGCTGGAGCCCAGAGGAGGTGGGGCCCCCAGCGGTGGGAGAGGCCGTTGGGGGCGAGGCCTCGGGAGGGGACGGGACCGCCCCAGCTTTTGAGGGCGGGTCTGGGTGGAAAGCTCCATTGGGGGTGGGGGTGGGGGTGGAACCATTGGAGGCGGGGCTAGGACGTTGTGGGCGTGTCCAAGAAGAGGGCGGACGGATGGGGCGGTGCTCTTCACAGGGTGGGCGTGGTTAGACTTGGTAGGAGCACCTTTAGAGGCGTGGCCGAGAAGGGAGGCGTGGACTCTGCGGGTTGAGACGTGTGTTGGGGGACACCAGATTGCGTGGAGGGGTGCCTGGCGTGGGAGTGGGGACTGTGTGTTGGGCCCAGGCCTGGTGGTTAACAGCAAGTTATCTCTCTTACCTCTTAGAACTCTTTTTTTTCAAGAGGTATATAAATCGCTTAATGATTACTCATAATAGTGGATGATACACAAAAAATTCCCATCTATAATTTTATCTGGCACATAAGGCTTCATGAATTTGCGTATCATCCTTTCGCATGGGGCCTTGCTAATCTCTATCATTCCAATTTTAGTATATGTGCTGCGGGAGCAAGCACACACACTTAGAACTCTTAATAGCACCACCCAGTACCTGCACTTTTCTAAGCTCTTTACACACAAAAATTCATTGAAATCCTCACCACAACCCTGTGAGGTCAGTATTATCCAGTGTCTTCTTTTATGGACTTGGAAACAGGCCCAGGGAGATAAGGACATAGTGAATAAGTGTTAGAGCAGAATTTGAAACCAGGCCATTTGTTGGCTTTGCCACTTAGGGAGTGTATTTGGGGGAGCTTATGGCCAGGATCTGGGACTAAGGTACCAGACAGCTTCCTTCAACACAGCACGATGATGGCTTGGGTCTGGGCCAACCTTCTGGAGGATTTTCCCAGCCGGAGGGACATAAGGCTTTGTGAGCCTCAAGTATGGCCTATGTAGGTCAGGCAGCCATAGCTGGCCTGCAGCCAGTTGGGGAACTCCTTCACCCTGCCCCAAGCCGAAGAGACTTGCTACATGTTGCTAGAGTCCTTCATTTCTCAGCTCAGCTGGTTTAGGGGTCACTGGCTTTATAGTGCCTTCTGTGCCAAGCTGGACTTTGGCCAGGCCTTCTGCTGTCCTTGCTGGCTGTCAGTAGCTGCCCTTGAGAGCTAACTCCTGGGCCCACACAGGGTACTTTTAAAAAAATCCTCACCTGAGGATATTTTTCACATTGCCTTTTTTTTTTTTTAGAGAGAGAGATAGAGGAAGGTAGGGAGGAAGGGTTGGGAGAGAAAAGAAAGATAGAGACAGAGAGAGAAACATTGAAGTGAGAGAGACACATTTGATTGGTTGCCAGGGCCAGGGATAAAACCTGCAACTGAGGTATGTGCCCTTGATGGGAATTGAACCCACAGCCCTTCGGTCCACAGGCTGATACTATAACCACTGAGTCAAATTGGCCAGGTCCACATGGGGTACATTTGCTCTGCTGCCTGCTGTGTGAGAGTCTGCCTGCCACATTGTCTCACCTTAGAGGCAGGGGAAGCTCTGTTAGAGTTTTGGGGACTGATGACAGGTGGTCTGGACTCGAATCTTGCTACCCAGTCTGCCCTTAGGTGGCTGCTCCTGGATCAAGGTGGGGCATACACCTGGCCCTGGCATTGCCAGGGCAGGGAGCATTTCCCCTGTCACCCCTTCCATGTTTCTGTGTTCATTTGCTTGTTATTTTCAATTGTTTGCTGATATAAGTAAGTAATTCCAAGTGTTTGCACAAATCATCTTTTGCCCTTTGGGTTATTTCCTTGAAGTATGTTCCCAGAAGTTGTTACTGGGTCAGGGGCAATGGAGCAGCTGTGTACTTCCCAGGATTGGTCTCTAGTCCACTTCCTGGAAACACTAATTCCACTTCTGTAGCACCTGGCATGGGGGGATGGTGCCCGCCTGCCCTGCTTCCTTCCCCCACTGACCTCCTTTTCTGAGTCCATAAGGTCAGGGCTCTACAAACTGTGATCATCTGAGACCTCCTTGTTGGAGGACCCCCACCCCCACCTTTACCCTTTAACCCTTTGCGGTCCAATGTTATTTTTGGAATTCAAATAGTCTGGTCCAAATTAATTGACGGGATTGAATGTTGAACTTTTTAATGTTCTTATTGCTCGACGTTGGACCTGCTCCTAGCACCTGGTCTGTCGAGTCAGCCTCGAGGTTGGACCGAAAAGGGTTAACGTTTGTCTTTAAATTTACCCAGGTTTTCATTCTTTTAAATGGGAAAAGGAAAATCTTTTTGGCTCTGGCAAATAAAGAAGGGAGGAGGGAAGCCGGCAGGCATACCACAACCCCCACATAAATATGGAGAGTAGACAGATACATAAATATTCTGCACACCCTCCCGTCCCAGCCCCTCCTGAGACCCCATGGCCTGCAGAGTCAGGCCTGGGCATTAGAGAGGCACCCAAGACATGACTGCATCAGAAGAGTTGACCAGGGCCAGCTTTCTCCCTGACCCTGCCACCTGGTAAAGGCCACCCTTTAGCAGAAAAGGGGACAGTCATCC